CCCCCTCTGAAAGCTAATAAGGGATCAGGGAGCATCTGGGGGAAGCTGCTGGGTGGGGAAGGGTTGCCTGGCCTGGCCGGTCCCCGGGGCTGGTGGTGGGTGCTTCTTCCTCGGGAAGGTTCCTCACCCAGGGACAGGCTCTGAAGGTGCTGGTATTGATGCTGGATGGATGTTGCTCTTGTTTCTGTAAAGTTTTCTGTGCATGACTGATTTTGAAGGTAGAGTTGAATAGAGGTTTTCGCCACACTTACAGAGCTTCATAGGAAACATGAGGATTTGGAAATGTTCTGGGCTTGTATTTCCAGGGAAGCTGGTGAAAAGCAGGTTTTATGAAATACATATATTAAAATGACTTATCTGAGCTTCCTGCTGGTTTGTTGCAAAGCAAATGTGGAGTCCTGCCATCGTGGGACTGAAGCTTGTGCTGCTTGGAGGGTCTGAAGTGATAACGCTTCCCATCACTTGAGTCTGATGATGGTTCACCGAGATGGACTCTGATATCAAAATTGCTCATGAGCTCACACCGCTCACAGCAACGCTTTTGATGACTTAGAGTGCTTAAAAGTGATGCTTCTAAGAATAAAGATGCTTTGCTCCTAGTGATGGTGTTCCCCTTCCCAGGGCAGTCCGACCTCCTAGGGCCGTGCGTCCAACCCTCCTGGGCTCTGCCCTTGCTGCTGGTCCAACCGTTCCCAGGGGAAGGCTTCCTTCTCAGTCACCAAGCAGCAAAATAACTGAATTCAACCAGCTTAAAAAATTCATTGTCCTTTCTTCCCTTTCCCCCCAGCCATAATATGAATAACTTTCTCCTTTTCAAGTCCTCCTAATCGCTCCAGCAAAGGGAGGGCTTTGAGGGGCTGCAGTTGCTGGAAGGTTTGCTCCTTCCAGTGCATGTCATGGAAAACGTCAGAGCTGCTGGAACCCGGAGAGCCGCCCCATGGCACAGCATGCTCTCGCTAAAGAGATGGTATCTGGGTCACTGAGCTTCCTCTAGCCAGGGGTCAGGGATCCAGCGATTAGGATTCACTGCGGCTTAATGCACGGCTGCTGACAAGGTCCCTCTAAGAATGACTAAATGGGAAGCTATGGCATGAATCCCTGATTTTTTTTCTTTCTTTTTATTTCCTTTATTTGGCTCCTTTTCTTTCAGGTGTCCTGGGCATGGGCACAACCCGCCACTGCTCTCACACAAGGGCGAGGGCACAAGTGTGCCCTTGCTGTGGGCACACTGGCTGCCTTCAACTTATTTTAATCAAAACTCTTGATTTCTTGGGCAGAAACTATCCCTAGTAACCAAACTCTGTTTTGTCCTCTTGAAAGCCTAATGAATTGTGACAAAAAACATCAAAACTACCTTGCAAAGGAAATCACTCAGCTGGTTGCTCAAAATTAAAGTGATTCCATATTAACATGTGCTGTTAAAAGGTCTGTCTGCCTGGAACTTAACAGCTGCTGCATGAATTTCTACTCTAGACAGTGTGTTAATAACGTCATGCTAATGCAAATATGAAAATAGGGGGAAAGCTAGATAATCTGAGCTGTTTGGGTAAGCAATGTCTGCTAGCCCACTTAATATAATGACCCATAAAGCTGTGCTTTGCATCCTATTAATTCAGGGGAGGGTCACTGGGTGGTGCCAGGAGGCAGACCTTCGTGCGCTAACGAAGCACTGATGTTGCTGCATTTCCCTCCACCTTCTGTGTCTCACCTTTGGGTTTTTCCTTCCCAAACCTTGGCTGCTTGTCCCAGTGGCTGCATCCCTGCAGCTCACGCTTTGCTCCACATGATGCTTGTGTGCAGGATGAGACCCAAAGCACCTCATCCTCTCTCCAGGGCTGTGAGGCACAGGGCTGAGCTCCCCCACCCATGCCAGCTCCTCCTCACCTATGAAAGGAGGGCAGAATTTTTTTTTCTTGATGACCTATGAAAGGAGGGCAGAATTTTTTTTTTTATGGAAAACTTAAAGAACGTGAAAAATCAGATTTTTCTTCATAACTTTTCATGGCATGATTTTTGCAGTGGAGTTCGGGTAAGGGCAATAGCTGACTCAGGGGCTCTGCGGGTCTCCCCAGGCGATGGGCAGCTCTCGCCCCATGTCCCAAGCACCCGTCAGGGCAAACAGCCCCTCCTGGGTGTGCAGCCCAGCAAGGACACCCGAGGTACCGAGGCCCCAAGGAAACAGCTGCTGAACATGAATGCCAGTTTTAGGTATCAGGATGTTTTCAGTGAAAAGCAACATATTCCTAAATCTTCCCCTCCACCCCTTTTGGAAAATTCAATTTACTGGAAAACTAATTTTTTGATCAAATTTGTTTTCTAGGCTCTGCATTGGAAAGACTTTATCTTTATTTAAATGAAGGGTTTGTCTTCCCTAATGATTTCCCTTGTGTTATGGCCCACATATTCTCAGCGCTTGGTCAGTCGATGCTCCTCCTCGGGCCTCGCTTTTCCTGGGGACCGTTGGCTCCCAGCATGGAGATCTTAGCGTCTTGGGGGGATCCCTGAGATGCTGGGGGCCATTGCCCCCCACCATCCAGGTTTGGTGTGACAGGGACTTCCCAAGGGGCTGTCTTTGCCACTAAGTAAAAGGAAAATTTAAAATCCATGGGTGATGCGTACTTTAATGTATTGCCCTTCCTGTGGGATGCTCCAGTGTTTGCAGTGGTGCTTGATGTAATCTAGGCAAAGAAAAGTATCCTGGGGGGCAGGAGGAGGGATGCGCAGCTGCGGGGATTCAGGGGACCATCCTTCTGGCTGCGGCACCATCCAGAGCCTCTGGAGGCTTGGGTCACCCTGGCAAAACTGTCAGAAAGTCACTTTGCTTGTTTTTATCCCTAAAAACCTGAACTGATTTATAATAGCACTAATAAAACCCAAGTCTGGGGCATCAACCAGGAAAACGCCCTTTCAGCTGTTTGATAATGTCAGAAATGTTGTGTATGTCGATCACTGATGCTTATCTGGGGCAAAGCTGCCAGGTAAATGCAGGGAAGAAAATGCATTAGTGGATGGCAGGAGGCAGTTAAGGGTCCAGGGCTGAAGTGGCAGCTCAGATCTAAGCCAGGTTGTTGCTGATGGGCAGAATTATCAAAATTTAGGCTCTCTGAGTGAGCCGAAGTGATGCTGTCGGCAGCTGAAGGAGGAGGCGGGCACAGCCACCCTGTCCCGGCTCTTCCATCCGTCCCTGCCCTGACACCCCTGAAATTGTCCCTAATGGAGGTTAAAATCACACCGGCAGGTATCAATCACCGAAGGGAAAATGAACTCTGCACCATATGGGTAGGGAATTTGTGTAACGTGCCCTAATTAGAAAGAAGCTCATGAGTTAGAAATCAGTCTTGCGTTAAGTGCTCATCACAGACCGGCTAACGGGGATGTGATCCCGCGCCTGTCACGCCGGGGAATTAATGAGTGTTTGAAAGAGACTGCATCGAAGGGCAGAGGGGAATGACTGCCAGTGACCCTGTTACCCAGCCAGTGATGGAGCTGAAGGTGTCCATTTGTTCATGTACTGAAGGCAGTGAGAGCAGGCACCTATTTTTTTCCCTTACCTCGATATGACCCGTATAACTAAGTCCCCGGTGTTTTAAGGCCAGCCTAGTTCTCATCTTATATATGGGCCGTGTCCAAGGGATGACTTAGAGCTGTTGTAGCAATTTGAGCAAGAACTGGCTTTTCACTCTAATAACAATGCCTATGAAAAGTATTTTTAAATTGATAAAGCGGTCTCGGGGAGGGTTGTGTTTGCCTGTGTTTCTCAGTGCCTTGTGCAATGCTTTTCTGCATCTCCATCCCTGCCTGATCGAATCCAGGCAGGCGGAGCCGCTCTGCCTGTGCATCCCGCACTGGTCCTGGCTGGCGTTCACCGGAGCTGCGACCGACCGTGCAGCGCGGCAGCGGGGACCGTGGCTGCCTGGCAATTAGCAGCCGTGTCTCCCTGGGAGCAAATTAATTCAAATAAACCTTCCCAGCAGCGATGGTGCAGGGGTGAGCCCTTGGGCCTGATCTGGCTGCCCAGAGCACTCCTGGCCATTGCCCTTAGCTGCGGATGGTAAAAATGCAGCATGTTATCCTTGGTGCGTTTCTTTGTTCACATTAATGGAGCCAGGAGCTCGATATGTTAAAAGGTTAGCGCTGGAAGGGCTATGAAATATTTAGTGGCTGTATCATGCTGACCTAGTTAGTTTGCGTGCTCCAAGCGTGCCACCACCTCCGGGCTGCGGCAAGGAGCTAGCCCAGGAGAAGGAAGGGCAGTGGGGTGGCCACCCTGCAAGGTCCTTGCAAGGAGCAGGGGTTCCTGCAACCCATCTGCGATGGGAACTTTAAGAGGAGGCTGTGCTGAGTGCTGTGCGCCGTCCTCTGCTGCAGAGCTCTGCCGGTCCTCGCTCTGCTGGGATGGCAAGACCAGACCGTCCCTAAATGTCTTGCAAGGATTTCCATCCGTGTGGAAGGATCCCATCCAGTGGTGTCACAGTTAGATTATTAGCATTGTTAAGCAAGAGCGTTGATGATCCCAAAGTCGCTGGGGACTTGTCCTGCGGAGTACACATGCATACCTTGCTCAAGGTCACTTCCAAAGTTTGGGAGGAAAGTACCAAATACTTCATGCATGGCCCGATGGCTGATCTGCCTCAAGGCCCAAGGGTTGGTTTGGAGCCTCTCGAGTCCCTTCCAGCCCTTTTGCCCGTGGTTTCAGACGGTCATGCAAAGATTTCCTACTGAGCTCCCCAGCTGGTGGTGCCCCCTCGCTGGGGGCAGGCAGCCCCATGGGGTGGTGTTTGCAGAAACCCCTTCTCATACACAGATCAGCTGCAGACGCCCCTGGGAATACTGTTGGGGTAAAACCAATCCTCAACCTAGCCAGGCATCTCCTCTGGTCAAAAGCCCCGTCCTGGAGCAACCTACAGAGCCCGCTCCTCTAGCAGGGCTCCAGCCTACCAGCTTTACCACTAAATTATTTTTTTTCCTCTTTTTTTTTTTTTGGTTGTTTTTAATTACAGACAGGCCGGATTGAACCAAACTACCCCAAAGTTTGCGGACACCAGGGCAACGTGCTGGACATCAAGTGGAATCCCTTCATTGAGAACATCATTGCGTCATGCTCCGAAGACACCTCGGTGAGCTGGGACGCTTCAGGCTGGCACCTCCTGGGGAGATGAGCGGCTGCAGTCGTGCAGCTCCGTGCACCCTTCTGCCTTTAATTTATACACCCGGAGGTGTGGGAAAGGGGCTGCTGGAGGCACTGCGGGTGGGTGCTAGCTCCGCAGTCTCAGGAATGGAGAGGGGGTAAGAGACTGATGCGGAGCAATAGGCAAATTGTGCCAATCCCCGGCTCCTGTGTTGGCGGTTCAGGGGCTGTGGCTGGTGCCCAGCTCCTCTGCTGTCCCCGGTGTCACTTATCGTCACAGCGCTGCTGTTTCTGCGTCCCCTGCTGCAGATAAGCCATACAGCTGTGCAAAACGAGGTCCTTTTTTTTTTTTTTTCCCCCAAGCCCAACAGCAGTGCTATTATTAATCCTTCTTGCTATCGGGGACGGCAGGGGCTGCAACTGCTCTCATGGCCTGATTCATCAAGTGATATGAGCGAAAGGCAGTTTTGTGGGCTGGGGGATAATGAATCAGGTTATCTTTACATAGCTGTTATTTGCATCCTCCTCCTTTATATTTTCTGGACACAAACAAGTCCATCCCAAAGGCTGTATCATAAAGGAAAAAAAGCCTTTGTACAAGGGAGATGATCAGAAACTATTGCCCATTCTGCACGGCAGAAGCCGGGGTTTGGGGTGATCCAGTTTTTAACCAGTTACAAGTCTGCATTGCCTGATCCTTAGCGTTTCACTGTATTATCACCTAATGTCTCATCCTCTCCTGCAGCTCAGTATATTGGCATTTTTTATTAGCTGAAAGCTTGTCAAGGAAGATATTGAGTGGGGAAAAAAAATCAGATCATGGCCATGAATCATGGTGAGCTGTCTCCCACTTTAAATTATAACATTTTATATACAGTCGCCAGGGAATAGGAGGTGCTGGGAGGGGGGGAGGATACTGGGAAGACTTCATGAGCCATCGTTAAACCTGGGAAATTAAGTTAACTGCCCCTGAGGCTGTCTGGTGCGGGGGGTTTCCCCCCGATGGGGATGAGTCGGAGGGGAGCAGCCCTGCAGCTGGCTGGGCTCGTGGCTCCCGGGGCCACCCCACGCCCAGGGTGCTGCTTATGGGCAGGTCCTGCACCTTTGGGCTCTCTCCGCTCGCTCCCAGGAGGTTTAACGAGGTTCAGGCCATCAAAGAGAGAGGATGCTCAGGTCCTCGCGGAGTCTGAGCTGCAGAAAACAGAGTATTTGCGTGATGTTTGTCAGCCAGGGGCACTGTCGGTCCCAGGCTGGGGACACCACCGCCGCGGGAGACACGGAGGACCTGCCACGGGCACCGCTAGCCTAAGGGGAGCATGGTGATGCAGCCGGCTGGTCCTGCTCCAGACTCATGTCTTTCCTCCATCATGCCCTATGCGGAGAGGACAATGTGTGCAACCTTGTCCCCAGGGCATTGCTACAGGTTAATCCTCTCCAAGGGGGTGATGAGGATTTTAGGGCTTGGCAGGACCCCGTATTAACGGCCGTGGTTAGACACTGCCTCGCTGGAGAGGGATGACTCTCACAGCCCACCCAGGTTATTGCTATGCTTGAAACCCCTCCTGTAATTACTCCCTCGCTATCAAACCTGTATCCGTCCGTACCTATCTGTCCCCACTTGGATAACGGCATCTGTCCTCACGTGATGCTCTCCTGTGGGGTGCTGGGGATGTTAATTCATTATTTGTCCTTGTGGGACAATTAGTGGCAGGGCTAATCCTCGAATTCCGGGGCCCTGCCATGGTGCTGCGAGCTGCTGAAATGCTGTGAAGGCTTTTTGGGAAGGAGCTTTTAAAGGGCAGGACAAAACAAGCGGAAAGATTAGAGGGGAATTGCCCAATCTCCATAGGTGTTTCAGGCTCCGCATTTTCCTTGTGCTGGGGCTCTCTGTGCACTCAGGCACAGTGAACTGATGTGGCATGCAGAGCTAGAGGGGGGATTTTGCAGCACGGTGTCTTGTTTGCAGGATACATCTCTGTGGAAAGGCGCGTTTCAGGGAAAATTTTGTCAAGATGGTTTCTTGGGATGGATTGGGAGAGGAAGCCTCTGGTTTCACAGGCTGCGTCTCACCCCGGCTGCTCTCCCTGGTGTCATGGGAGGACAGTGGAGAGAGGCGCTTCTAGGGCTGTTCCTCTGTTTTTTTTAATGTTAATTTTCCAAAAGCATCGTTTCCATCCCAAGATGGGACGAGGTTATGAAACCCAATGCTTGAGTTTTGGGTTAGCTCCAGCTATGACTATACTGGCACCAGAACGGCATTAGTACTGCAACCAATTCTGACACATCTATTTTCAGGTCATAGTGACCATGGTAATGGGGAAACCTGCCTAAAATAGCCTGTCCCTGGCACTCACCCCCTTTTTTTGCAAGACACGAGGAATGATGCAACTCTGTTAGGAGCAGACTGCAGAGGTGATGCCGCGCTGCAGAGCCCCAGCGATGCTTCCTAGCTGAGCATGGATGCAGGACCCCGTGGTGCAGGACACATTTAATAACCGCCCACTAGTCTCCCTGCACAGCGAAAGGCGAGAGGTAGCTCGTAGCTGAGCAGACCCTGACGATGCAGGGAGCCTGGGCATCGCAGCTGAGCACACGAAGGTTTCCCTGTGTGTGTCCCCCTGGGTTTGACGATGCATTCCCGGAGCAGCAAGCGTGCAGCAGGCGCCTCTCCAGCGTGCAGAGCTCGCTCGGAGCCCTCGTGGATGCAGATTGCCGGAGCGAGGCGCAGCCGGAGGTTTGGTAACAGCCGTTTCGTAACCCGCCGCTTTCATAACCGGTTCCTTCAACACCCGGTGATCAGGGTTGTGTTGCTTGTTCCTTGTGTTGTGTCTTGTTTGAAAACCACTGATGCTCTCAGAATCGTCCCTGAGAGCCAAACCAGCCTCTTAACTGTGTCTCTCTCATAATGCTGTTTTCTCTGCACGTCATGCAACCCAAAGAGCAGTGTCTTCCACCTCCAAACGTGCAGGTTCAGGCAGAAAACTCACCGCTCCATCCGTACATCTCTATGCAGATTTTTCACTGCAATATTGCAAATTAACTTTTGGCCCCCCCTGCCCCCGGCTGTAGCTCAGCCCCTGGCTGGATGGGGTGACCCTTGGGGGTGCTGGTGAAGAGAGGGAGGAGCGACCGAAAGGGCAGCAGGATCAGTCCTCCCTGGGCAGCAGCCTCCCAGATATTCCCTATGTTTTGGAAAAGCTTTATTTCAACTCAGCAATGCCCACTGGGGCTGCACAGCCCCGGCTACTGCGTCTGCCCAAAGGCAAGCTTGTCTTTTGAGATGCTGGCGGAGGAGGCGAAAGGGAACCTGCACGGGCTGTGTGCTGCATTCGATACGGTTTGGCTTTTTTAATGGGTGTTACTTAAAGGTGTTGTGATGCGTCTGCAACTGATATTAGAGCTGGGATGAGATGAAGGCTCTGGGAAGGACGAGCGCGCTGGCCAAGGCAGCTTGCTGTGGGGAGGAGATGAGAGTGCAAAGCTTGGTCGTTTCTTCTCTTCATCTGAACCTCGTGGACGTGTACGCACTACCAAACACTGCTGGGTTTTGGGTGGCTCCGGGAAGCCGCAGGGCTGGCAGGACCTCGAGTCTTGCTGCTCGGATGGGTCCAGGGTGCTCGGGCACGGAGCAGACCGAGGGGGTTAGATAAATGCGACGTGTCACTTTGGCTTCATACCAGTGACCTGCCATGGAGATGAAAGCTTCTATAACTGCTCTTTGATAGCATTATCTGGAGCTGTTTAATTGAAGAGGAGATGCTATAGAAGCTTTATTCTGTCCCAGTGCATCGCCTCCTTTTGTTCAGCAAGCACCTTCTCTGCAGAGGCTTTTCTGGCTTGTTTTTAACCCAGGTTCTCCCTGCTGGAGGGAGGGCGGGGGGGGGGGGTGGGGGGTGTCTGCCCTGGCCCCGCTGCCCCAGGAGCGCTGCATCAGCTTCATCAGGTCCTTTTCCTCGGCACCCACAGCCCAGGGGTGAAACCGCTGCCTTTTTTTGGGCTACCCTTTCCCCCGGTGCTTGTTGGTCTGATGGGACGGACTCCCCGTGCTCCCCCCCTGCCCTTGCAGGGGACCGGATCGACCCCTGGGACAGGCACTAGGGTGAAGGATGAGGCTGCTGGCATTGGGGCACTACAGGGATTCAGCAGCTCAGAGCCCCCTCTGGATGGGTGTCAGGGTCCTTCCGGGGCTCCCAAAGCCATCCCGATGTCTGCCCCATCCCGCAGGTGCGGATCTGGGAGATCCCCGAGGGCGGCCTGAAGAGGAACATGACAGAGGCCACCCCTGGGACAGGCACTAGGGTGAAGGATGAGGCTGCTGGCATTGGGGCACTACAGGGATTCAGCAGCTCAGAGCCCCCTCTGGATGGGTGTCAGGGTCCTTCCGGGGCTCCCAAAGCCATCCCGATGTCTGCCCCATCCCGCAGGTGCGGATCTGGGAGATCCCCGAGGGCGGCCTGAAGAGGAACATGACAGAGGCCGTCCTGGAGCTGTATGGGCACAGCCGGCGTGTTGGCCTCGTCGAGTGGCACCCCACCACCAACAACATCCTCTTCAGCGCCGGCTACGACTATAAGGTGAGCCCTGACCAGCCCCGCTCCTTGCGCTTGGCCGCTGCCTGGGGCTGCCCTTGCAAAGGCTTTCCCTGCTCGTGGCACGGGTGGGAGTCACCTGCGTGCAGCCAGGGCAGGATCCTGCTGGATGGAAGAAAATGACCCACCATGTCGTGCAGCAGACGGTACCTTCCCTCATGCAAAGGTCTTGCACCCGCTCATAAGGACTATTTTAATTTTGCATAAGCAGCAGCTGCAGGGCAGCCCTGGGAGGAGGGAAGGGAATCTGTAGGTGATGAGGGGGCGATTTCAGCCAAAATAGGAGATATTAAGATGCCCAAAGCAGACATGGAGGTTGCAGGACAGGTGGGGGAGGTCACCAGGAGTGGAGACGACAAGGCAGCCTCCCCGCTTCCTGCAGGTCCTCATCTGGAACCTGGACATCGGGGAGCCGGTGAAGATGATCGATTGCCACACGGACGTCATCCTATGCATGTCCTTCAACACTGATGGCAGCCTCCTGGCTACCACCTGCAAGGACAAGAAGCTGCGGGTTGTGGAGCCACGCTCCGGCAGGGTCCTGCAGGTGTAGTGCTTGTGCTGGGGTGCTGCGTGCTGCATGGGATGGGGGGGTTGTTAGAAATAAGATCTTGGGGAGGAATCCTACTGACACGTGTAAAAACAATTGCAAGGTATTGTACATACTCGTGATGTTTTGCATGTCTCGGGGTCTGCAAGTAATTCTCTGCTGTGAGGAGGGGCTGGTTGTTTTAATTAGGTGGAGGTGATGGGGAGGGCTCGGCCTCATCCCAAGCACAGGAGTTGGAGGCTTTTATTCTTTTATAAATTAAGGATTTGTGGAAAATAGTAGAAATTAGGGGTGTGTGCAGAAAGTTCCAGAAAGAGCCACACTTTTGAGGAAGACAGTGGTTTCTCAGTAAAGCTGGTATCTAATATTAAGGGAGATGATAGGCATTTTCATTTTGCACAGGGGACAGGTGCTGAATCACGGTACTTCCATACTGGCTGCCACGCCACCAGCACGGAGCCGGCGTTTCACTGGGATGAGGCAGGAGAGGCACTGGGGTGGTGGCAGGTTGGGGTAGCTGCCAAGGAAAGGGTTTTCCCGGGGCAAGGGCCGGGTCGGGGGGCTGCCGGTGAGCGTGCTCCTGTCTTGCAGGAGGCCAGCTGCAAGAACCACCGTGTCAATCGGGTGGTCTTCCTGGGCAGCACGAAGCGGCTGCTGACGACGGGGGTGTCGCGCTGGAACACACGGCAGATCGCCCTCTGGGACCAGGTGGGTGCTGGGACCCCCGCTCCATCCCCACCGGGACCCCACTCAGCACGAGCATTGGGACATCTTGGTTAATAAAGTGCTTTTTCCTCTTGCGCAGGAAGACCTGTCCATGCCCCTGATAGAGGAGGAGATCGATGGGCTGTCAGGTCTCCTCTTCCCTTTCTACGATGCTGACACTCACATGCTGTACTTGGCTGGCAAGGTATGGGCTGCGATTCGCATCCCGCAGCTGTGGGGGCTGCAGCATCTCCCAGAGAGGTGAAGGGGCCTCTCCCCAGCAAACGGTGTGGGGGAGAAGAGCCAGACAGGGAACAGGGCTGTACTGAGCCCTCAGCAAAGTGTTACGCAGCTCTTTGGCCATGAAGCCCTGGTTTGGAGAGGTGCCCGCCACTGTTGCATGAGTGGGCAAGATCCCGTGGGGTGATGCACGATGCTGCAGTGGCCCCAGCCTGTTTTCCCCCCAGCATTTCCCAAGGATGGGGTGCTGGGGGTTGTTATCGTGGCCTTTATTCAACCTCATGTTTGCCAAAGCAGTAAACCGTCCCTCTTCCCTGCACTCGCTCCAGGGCGACGGCAACATTCGGTACTACGAGATAGGCTCGGAAAAGCCCTACTTGAGTTATCTCATGGAGTTTCGCTCCCCGGCCCCGCAAAAAGGACTGGGTAAGGATGGCTCTGCTGCTGACCCTTTGCTCTGAACATGCAAAAGGTAGATGATGGAAGGTGCTTAATTAAATGCCGCTTGTGAATGGGTTTGGCACGGGTTTGGCGGGCGCTGTGCCGGCTCTGGAGCATCAGCGCAGGGCTGCAGCACCTGCAGGGCGGTGTTCACATTGTTGTGCTGTCCTTCCTGCGGTGATGCAGCCAGGCTGGGGCTGGGTCCTGGCCAGGCGTGCGCCCAGTGACACCCTTCTTGCTGTCACACATGCCACAGCTTTATCAGGGGACATCAGTCAGTGATTCCTGTAATTTGTCATAGAATCATAGAATCATTAAGGTTGGAAAAGACCTCTAAGATCATTCAGTCCAACTGTCAACCCAACACCACCATGCCCACTTAAACCAGTAGGATATCTGCCTTGTTGGCCTAATAAAATTGTTGTCCTGAATAAAAGCTGCTCATCCCTTTCCCAATGTCCCTGCAAACGCCCCTGGTGTGGCCCAGGTCTGTGCCCCAGGTCCCCAGGGTGATAGCAGGGATTAATTCAGGAAAGACCTGGGTCTCCTGATGGAGAGCAAGGACCTTTTGGGGTCCTCCGTACCGGGGAGGCGGATGGGTCCCAGCCAGCTGCCTGGGGTTTGCAGCACCCGGGGGTTATTGTCTGCGCCTCCTCCGCAGGGGTGATGCCAAAGCACGGGCTGGATGTGTCGGCCTGCGAGGTCTTTCGTTTCTACAAGCTCGTCACCCTCAAGGGGCTGATCGAACCCATCTCGATGATCGTGCCGAGGAGGGTGAGTCCCTCACTGCACGCCGGGGCGCGGGGACAGGCTGGTGGGGGCGAGCGGCATCAGGGGGTGTCCAAAGCAGGTCTGGTGTGATGGAGATGCCCCTGCTTGCACCGCTCTGCTGACCAGTCCAACTGTGTCTCTTTGCACCAGTCTTAGACCTCCCAGTTGTTACACTTCCCAAGCATGGGATTCCCAGGGTGTTTTTACCCAAGGCTTAATGGGAATGTTTTTAGGAAATGCATCTCTGCATTGCTCCTGGCCTTGATGTCATTGTGTTGTGCAAAATCAGCTTGGTCCATTGTGACAGGTAACAAGGGGCTTGTCTCGCCTGAGGTTTGAGGGCTCTTTCTGGTAAAATACATCTCGGAGCTGGAGCAGGGTTTGGCATTTGCCTTCCCAGCACCATCTGCGGCTGGAAGCAAAGCCAGCCGCCAGCCAGGGCTGTGCGGAGGAGCCGGTCCTGGGCTCTGCCGCAGCTCAGCAGTCGCTCGTCCTCCTCCAGCCCCTTTGCTCTGCTGCCGGTGGCTGGCCAGCATTTCCCAGATTCGCTGCATGTGCCCTGAGCAGTCAGCACTGGCGTTTCTCATCTAACTTAATGGTGCAAACACTAGTTTATTACTTCCCCAGATGCCTTGGGTGGCTGCATTGCTCATGCCAACGGAGTGAGCGCAACCATTTGCAGCACGTTGCAAGGTGTAGTTAAAATTGTGAGCAGAGTCACGGAGGCGGTTGCTTTTCTTTCCCTGTGTTTTTAGTCAGAAACGTACCAAGAGGACATTTACCCAATGACTCCAGGTACGGAGCCAGCCCTCACACCGGATGAATGGTTGAGCGGGGTGAACAGAGGTAAAGCCACTGGCACCACGCTGGGTGGGCGGCTTGGAGCCCTGAAAATGGCCGGGCAGTGGGATGGGGCCGCAGCCCCCCCTGACCCTCTCCCACGCTCTGCCCCGCTCAGATCCCATCCTGATGTCGCTGAAGGAGGGCTACAAGAAGACATCCAAAATCGTCTTTAAGGCACCAGTGAGGGAGAAGAAGAGCGTCGTCGTTAACGGCATAGATCTGCTGGAGAACGTGCCGCCCCGGACAGAGAACGAGGTAGGGCAGCACAGCTCCAGACCAGGGCATGGGGACAGAAGGGGACGGTGGCTGGCTGGAGGGACATTTTCTGGATGCAGCTTAGGAAGCCACCGCTCTGTGGGTCTCTGCTTGTACTCCCAAACTGAAGTGCCTGGGCACTGTGTTTCCTTGTGGCTTGAAGCATCCCACTCCGCATTGACCACAGAGCACCCAAAAGGAGTGGCGTTAAGCTCCTAAATTATTTTTTTTTATTAAAATCCTCCTCCAGGAACAACATACGGAGGTGCTGGGGAAACATCAGCACTTGATCCTGGAAGGAATTTGTTTTGCTGGAGCTGAGTTTGCAGATTGCATGCGTAGGGTATCCCCGAGCCAGAGGGTGAAATATTAAATCCGAGAGAGCAGGCAGCATGACATGACATGAAGCCGTGTTGCAAAGGCAGCCGAGTTATGAAACGTCCCCACTGTGGCTCTGGAGGCTGGCAGGAGGGCGAAGCCCAGGGGGCGAGCGGCCGGCGCGGGCCCTCCAGCTCCCTCCTTCCCTTTCAGCTCCTTCGGATGTTCTTCCGACAGCAGGATGAGATCCGGCGGCTGAAAGATGAGCTCTCGCAGAAAGACATACGGATCCGACAGCTACAGCTGGAGTTAAAAAACTTACGTAACAGCCCGAAGAATAATTAACTTCCAGGGACGTTTTATAAATAAACTTTCTTTGTTTATACTCGCTCTTTAATTTTATTGTATCCACTTACACAGAATATGAGCCAGAAGTCAAGTGACCTGCCAAGAGCCCACTCGCTAACTGGAAATACGTCCTCCTAGTCTTGTCTAGCACTAAAACTGCTATATCCGAAAGCTACTGCATGAGAGGCGGCTGGGGCGTCCGCGTGCCCCGGCGATGGTCTTGGAGTAAGTAGACGAGCAGTGTCCCCTCTGTCGGGATTAACCGGCATGAGGGAGCCGAGGCGGCGGCTCCCCGGGAAAGCGCGATGCTTCGTTGCTATTAATTTTTTTCCTATGCAAAAATGTGACAGCGGGTGCAGAACTGGAATGAGGTGTGGGAAGGGCTTAATTCACAAAAGCATGCTGCTGCGGCGGCAGCCCGGGACCCTTCCCATGACGTCGGTGCTGCCGGGGCGGTGGCTGTGACACAGCTGGGCGGGCTCCGGCACGGCCGGGCTTTGGCAGGAGCAGCCTGTGAGTGTCCCCGGGCTACAGCCTGGGGAAGGGAGTTGCTCCACCTGTGTGCGTGCATCCATGCACATGCACCTATATCCTTTAAAAAACAAAACAAAACCCAACCAAGAGGCTGGGTTTCCTAAATGGAGAGGGATTTTTGCTCCCTCTGCAAAGAGGGACTTACCCTCCTCCTTTCTGCTGGGACACATGCCAGTGCCATGGGGAGGGGGGAAGGATGTCACGCGGCTCACCCCGAGGGTCTCTGGGTGGACACCATGGTGCTGCCCCTAGGGATGGACCCAGCGGGTGCTGGAGCTGCGTGGGCGCTTGATGGGTTCAGCACGTGTGTACAATCACGTTTTTTTTGTGGATTAGGCCTGTAGCACAGGGAATGACACCAAATACTGCTAGTTTACCTATATGTATATATTTTCACTAAATGAAGTTGCTGAACTGCCCAGCACTACCAGTGCAACGGTTTTTTCTGTTATTTTTACCTTGTGCCCTGCGCCCACTGCTTCCCCCTCTTTACATTACATGTGCTGTCATTGCCTATTATTTATGCTACAACGGAATAGTGGTGAAATAAAATGTTTTCAAGATACCAAAACCTTGCCCACTCCTTTCTTTCTTTGCTGAGGGGCCATGCATGAGCGCTGGCCCCCACCCAAGAAAGGGTGGTGAGACCTGAAGGGGCATTTTTGGGTGCGCACAAAGGTGTCCTCTGCTTGCACTGCAGCTCTTCCCCCGGGTTGGGAGGTCCCTGCAGGGTTGAGCAATGCTGGCCGGAGGCTTGGCTCGATGCTCTGGGGTGGCTGCACGGGGCTTGGGTATGCGGCACGAGGAGCAGAAGCCCTGATTATGCAGGGAAGGAGGTGCTGGGAATTGCCCTGGGCTGGGTTGGCTGGTTTGGGGTCCCCTGCAAGGTGAGCAGCGCAGGGGAAGATGCTCACTGGAGGCACTTTGCTGGATGGGGTAAGCAGCCAAAGATGAATCATAGCATCATAGAATGGTTTGGGTTGGAAGGGACCTCTAAAGGTCATCTAGTGCCCCCCCTGCCGTGGGCAGGGACATCTTCAGCCAGATCAGGTTGCTCAGAGCCCCGTCCAACCTGACCTGGAATGTCTCCAGGCATGGGGCATCCACCACCTCTCTGGGCAACCTGGGCCAGTGCCTCACCACCCTCAGCGTCAAAAATTTCTTCCTTTTATCTAGTCTGAATCTACCCTCTTTTAGTTCAAAACCATTACCCCTTGTCCTATCGCTACAGGCCCTACTAAAAAGTCTGTCCCCATCTTTCTTATAAGCCCCCTATGCTGAGACGGGCCCCAAATTTGCAGGTAAAATGCAGCGGTTCTGTGGCTGCCCCAGCTCCCTACGGTGCTGCAGCCAGGCGTGCGCAAGCAAGAGGGCAGTGCGAGGGATACTGAGATGGAAATAAAGCTTTAAGCTTTATTTCCTTCATTTTCTGGTGTCGAGGAACGTGTTATCATTTGGTGTCAGGACTGGAGTTTCCTGGTTTTATCATGTCTCATATTTGGAAGGAGAAACCACTATTTAAGCACATCTCAGCTGCTTCATGCAGAGCAGCGATGGCTTGGTCCTGTTTGAGGTTATTTATGTCTTAAAGGGCGTGTGTTGGGACTTACTGCACTAAATTATCTCCTGTAAGGGAAGAGCCAACATTTCTCCAAAGCCCCTTGAACTGATGCAAAATGAGCCCAATTACAGCTGCGGGTGGTAATGATTAATGAGCCAATTAGCATATCTGCAAACATCAGCACGAATCGAGCAGCGGTTGCTGCCTCTGTTACAGGTGAGGGGGACATCTCGGGGTGTGGAGGCGACTGATGCAGGATGTGGCCCCTGCGGGATGGCTCTGGGTGGGCTTCAGCATGCAGCATACCTTTTGCAAAGCGTGCTCACAGGGCTCCCAAAACGTTTGGAATTCGCCAAAAATCTCCAGCCCAAGCCATGGCTGTGCAGTTTCCAGGGCAAACCCTTCACGAGGTTCTTGCTCCTCCTCTTCTTGCACCTTTCCTCCCAACTCCCCTCTCTCAGTAACAGCTTGACCTTTTCCCAGTGTTTCCTCCTGCACCATCTGAGTGCTATTTCAAGCAGAAAGGCCCATTTTTGGGGCTTTTGATACATCCAGCTTTAGCACTGAATTGCCTGCGCTGCTGCAACCTTATGACTCGACCATGGAGCAGGGGCCCCATGCAGCTGGGTGCAATCCTGCATCGCTGCAAGGACCCACTGCATCACCCCTCATCCTGAGGGTTTTGTGCCACTTGGGAACCACGAGACCTGCTCCTGCACTGACCCACATCCCTGCCCTTTGCTCTTGATGAGCCTGTGGTGCTGTTGTGGGTTTTTTAGATGCTTCTGGGTGGTTTGCAGTATTTTGCAGGGTCTAAATGAGACCAATGAGTCTGTAACCTCCCAGCTCTTTTTCTCCCATCCTTCTTGCAGACAACATTACCGTTTCTTTAAAGCCTTCCAGCTGCTCCCTGGTCCTGGAGTGTTAGCAGAGCTGATCCCTTGCTCTCCAGGACCGGCTCTTCCAGGACCCCTCCAGGAACTTTACTCAGACTCAGTAATTCACAAACATCTAATTTATCTGCAGCATTTCCCAAGCTGTCCCTGTCCAAACCCAGGCTGAGGTGTCACCCTTCCTGTACTGCTGCTAATTGCAATTACCTCTCCATCACTGCTGACATCTTCAGGGATAACAGGTTTTAAGGAAAAAGGCTTAATGATCTTGGCTGGCTGTAGCAGACAGCCCCTTCCTTCTTCAAACACGGCCATGGGGTGATTTGCTTTTCCCCTCCATATTAATGCTGTCCCTCTGTGCTCATCCTTATCAACCTGACCTACTTTCTGCTTCCTGGAGGTTTTGCTTTGTTTGAGGCTTGGCCTCCTCGTATGCTTCCTAGCTGCAGGATTATTGTTAATTCTGTTTTCCAACATTTTGAGAGTGCCTACTTGGAAAGATTTCTGGCGATTAAAAACCCCCTGAATTTATAGATGAAGATATAAGATCTTCAAGGTTTTTGAAATCTAAAATTAAGCAAATGCAGAGGAGAAACCACTGTGAGTTTTAATTAAATGGGAGTTTCCCATCAATTTGCTGAGGATGATGCTGGTTCCTCCTTTTTCTGACATCCTTAAAATCAAGGGGTGCTTTGCACTAGCAGAACTTGGCCCCGCTTGGTTCAGCAGCGCCAGCTACGCACTCAGACACCCTCCCTTGGGAGCTCAACTCCCTCACAGCAAAAAATTATTAGAAATTTTTTTACAAATTTAGTGCATTTTTAGAAATTATGCACTGCTTGCCTTTTTACCTAAAGTGAGATCCCCAGAACCCGACTTTCCCACCCCCTCCTGGGAGGAGGCTTTCAAACACCAAAAGGGGAATTTGGTGCTGAAATAGAGCTGAAACTGCACCAGAATTTGTGCGGCAGACGGCTGCTTCTCTGGGTGTCGTGGCGAGTGCCGTGCACATGCCACATCAGCCTGCTCGCAAGGACCGATGGCCGTGCTTGGACGTACCTGCTTCAGCCAGATGTGGCCGCTCCAGATGTTCCGCAGCATCTGTAAGGGCTCAGCAGGGAAACACCCTGTCGCCTGCCCTACTGCCCAGCAGCAGCCAGCTTCTGAACAGCACTGGAAAATCACAGTAAAATTAGCAATTACAGCAAAGGTGATCTACAGGGATGTCTGGGGCAAGGACCGGTGGTGTTCTCTCACAGGAGGGTGTCCAGGGTGAAATGCTTGCCTGGTGCTACCTCTGCTGCCGCCTCCCTTCTCTGCACACGTTTGGCAAGTGCCAAGTGTTCAAGTGCAATGGAAAAATAAAAACTCCAAATAGAAAGTGTTGAAGTCTTGCCAAAAATTATTCACCAGGTTTTTATTGGCTCTGGGCAGAAGGAGCAAAACCAGCAATGACAACAACCGGCTGATAGCAGAAAGGTCACACGGTGACGTTATCTGGACCAAGCGAGAGCTGCTGAGCTAAACAGAACAGTAGTCAAAATGCATTTGGAGAAACACCAGTAAGAGTTAATGGGGGATGCTCAGACAGAAAAAGTGGTCAGGTTTTCCAGTTAAGGGGAGTGATAACTGCAGCTCCCAAATGACACACGTACATACTCTGTCTCCAGCCCATGTCTCACCCTGTGTTTACCCCCTTGGCAGCTTTACTCTCCCCACCACCGTCTCCTTGCCCAGTGCATGAAGCAAAATAGCAGCTGAATATTTCAAGTATCTTCCCTCGGTGATTCATGCAGCAGTTGATCAGGGCGCTGCTGCTGCCAGAGCTTTGCCTGGAAGAAGGGCGAGTGCTGTTGCAAGCAAAGCCGTGGGTTGCGCAGGGCGAGTGCTTCACCCGCTGCCGCAAGGAAGCGTTCGTCAGCACGCAGCAGAGCGGGAGAGAGGAGGAGAGCTTTCCTAGCTCCATTCTGGGAGGTGGGAGGAATTATTTGCAAGAGCAGAAGAGAGCG